TTCTGGCTGAGCATTTGCGCGAAGTTCTGTTTTTGGTCGAAAATGAAAACACTGTTCACTGGCGCTAGTCTAAGCTCAGAAAAAAAATGTCTTGTTGTAGAAAAGAAAAAACGTAATATAAATAATTATGCCAATCCCAAGCAGTTTTAGAGTAGCTTTCTGGCATTTGGCCTCACGAAAATTTTTTATCTTACCTGACTCAGTCCTACGAAAACCCACCCAAAGTTTAAAATTACAAAAAAACGTCCGATTCCAAATTTTTCTCTTAAACCGGCTGGGCGATTATCTGGCCTATTTACAAGCGCTATTTTAAGCCAACGAAAACATTTCATTTAGTTTGTAGGACATTTTTGCAAGTTTCTGAACATAATTTTTGTTTTTGTCAGATCGTATGACTATTTCTGCAAATAATTAAAAATCAATTTAAGCCCTCAAATTTTCCTGTACATCTAGGTGAAGTCGCGTGCTTTGACTCTGAATAAAATGAACTATAAAAAAGTTACAAGCGTTGCGTACGTTACAGAAAAATGCTCTGAAAACTCGTGAATAAGTGACTATAGACAAAGGAGAACTCTTCATGAACCTATACTAAAAATTTTCGAAAAACGATTACACAATTGAAGCAATTTTTAGTTAAAAAATCAATAATATATTTAAAGTTACAATTTTTCTCATTAAAACACATCTCATCAAGAGCAATCAACTATAGAAGCTACAAAAAATGATGTGTTTTCCAATAAAAGTTTCATGAAAACAAATAAAAATCGACGGATCTCAATTATCCCCCTCTTTGGTACCAAGAAGCGAATTGTCACCCCTATAATGAAATAATTCAACGGTTAAACAAGTGCAATTTGGTATCTAGTAACGGACCCCCCCCCCCCCTTTGCAAAAAGAGGGAATATTCAAAGAGATCCCAATCGACAATAAAAGCTGCAGAAAACCAAAAACATTATATCTATTTTGCATCAAATTTTCATAAAAATACATCAACAACTGACTAAAATAGCTGCAAAATACGGCACAATTCATGAGATTGTGCAAAAATAAAAACATCTATTTTGGATCAAATTTTCATAAAAATACATCAACAATTGACTAAAATAGCTGCAAAATACGAGACAATTCATGTGATTGTACAAAAAAGTTGAAGAATCGCGTGACGAATATGCTTTTTGTGGTTAAAATTGAATAAAATGTCCAAAAAAGCAAGTGCCCAGTTAACATCCTCCTCTTAACCTGCTTTGGAGTGAGGGGGGAGGATGTTAAATTGGTCCAAAAATACAAATAAAAACATGTGATCAAAAATCAAATACCCGAAAAATCTAAAAAAAATACAATTTAAAAAACTCGTGAACAATGCGTGAAAAAATTATGAAACCACGTGAAAAATGTATAGGCTCTTGTAGTTGCAATATAGTAAAATGATAGAAACTGCAAGTGCTTCGCTAAAAAAATTTAAGTTAAAAACACGTGAACAAAGCGTGAAATTTTTATGAAAACAGACGACTTGGCTACTTGTGCTGTCGTGGTTACTACAATTGAATAAAGTACTAGAAGAGAAGATTTGATTGCTTCAATTAAAAAATGATATGAAACACGTGAACGATTTTATTTGTTCAAGTAAAAAGGTGTGTTTTTTCGTTTTGTGAAAACGCGTGAACATCTTAAACAGTCGGTGTGTACAAACAATTTTTATTTTTAGAACCAAATAAAAAACGCAGAGATTGAAAATAAATTGGCTGAAACTATTTAATATGTTAGCATTTTTACTAGTTTATAATTAATCTCAAGGTGGTTTTGGTTTATCGTTAGATTTCATTTTTTTTCCGAATAAAATTAAATCTGGTTTTGGAAAACTGTTTCCTGATTGGTGTTCATTTTCAATCAGTTTCATTTATTTGTGTAACGCAAGTAGTAATTTTCTGCACCGCATAGCCGCAGATTTGTTGAGTGGTATGTTGAATACTATTGAAAGCGTGAACTTTTTCTGAAGCATGAAAAAACTTAAGGGTGTGTACCTGTTTTAGATTTTGTCACGTAGGCTGAACAACAAGCCAGCAATGCTACTACGCCAGAAAAGTTTGATTGAATCCTATTGGTTCTTATTTTTTACGCCAGGCCCTTTAAAGTATTTGTTCACTCGTTTTACTTTTTATAAGCTCGAAAAACAAGCTGGTTCTCATTTGTTTTCGATTTCTCGGTTAAAAAAGTTCATCGTGAAAACCAAAAAAAAACTGAAAGTTGCCTTCAGTAACCAAATCAAAAGTTGAATTTCTGCCACGATGATTTTTTCCTGTTGGGAGCGAGATTTGATCTTCCTTCTGTCTTATGTGTTGATATTGGCTCTTTTCATCATCAAACATTATGCAAATTCAGCGTCATTTCTGCGCCAAGAAGTTAGCCGTTTCAAAAAGTCAATAGTAAGTAATTCTGTAAGATTTCTGCGTTAAGCATACTTTTGCGAATTCAATTTAATAGCGCGGATAAAGCAACATTAATGTTTTAAAAAGTTCGACCCAACTCGCAACGCAATCGAACGGCTTTAGCACAAGTTATTGGCTCGCATCAACTATTCGACAATGAAAGTAAATGTTGTGCAAAGTCTCCTTTTGTACCAATAGGTTCTGTACTTATTAAGAGACTGAACGAAAACTTTTGGACCGAATATTTTTATTGAGCTCTGGAAATTTATCTGAAAAATTCAACCAACCTCCCCCTCTGAAAAATCCTAGATCCGAGTTGTTCTAAAAACTGGTTTGAAAATATCATGGCACAACTGCAATTAGGGGCGGATTTAGGGGGGGGGGGGGCGGAGGCTTTTTCCCTCAGGGATTCGACCCCCTGCCGACCCAAAGGGTCCCCCCTTTGGTACTTTTTAAGAAATCCATTTTTGGCCGACCGACCCTAAAATTTTTGTAAAGGCGCCTTCGGCACCAATATATATTAATTTTGAGGGGGAGCGCGCGCCAAAAAAAAACACGATTTTTTTGTCAAAATTTTTTTTAAAAAATTGCCCAAAAACGGCTTTTTTGGGCTGTTTTCAAAATTTTGCCTGCGGCGCACAAAATTTTACCAAAACATAGTCTTTGTAATGTTGGAGGAGAGCTCGGAAAAACAATTTGGTCGACCTAAAAAAAAAGTCAACATTTTTGAAAATTTTTTGAAAATCCGCCCCCCCCCTGGAGAAAATCCTAGATCCGCCCCTGACTGCAATGTAGATGGAGGGGGTAACTTCAAAATTTTTGAATGTTACTTAGCATGTTGTGCATTAGTGGATTTAGGGTAGAATATTTTTTTGGTCTTAATTATCGAAAATTCATGTAATTTCAGAGAGCTCAGAAAATCAATTTGGTCGACCTATAAAAAAATGTTTAAATTTTCAAAAAAAAAATGTTTAAACTTTCAAAAAAAAAACGATTTCGAAAACTTTTAAAAATCCGCCACCCATGCCCTCCCCCGAAAATTTGCTAATTTTGAGCCCAGAGCAGAGAAAAAATCGATTTTTGGTCGTATAGCTTTCGTAATTTTTTGCTGGCGCCTAAAAATATTTTTTTGAAACTTTTTAGTGAAAGCTTCAGCTTCATCTTATAAACGCATAACGCATAACGCATCATTTTTGTTTTCCGAGACAAATTAAAGCACAATTACAACCTTTAAGCTTTGAATTTGAATTGAGTTTAAGTACAGCCTTAAAAAACACAAGTGAAATAACAAACAATATCAAAGTTTACCTTTTTTGCTCACTTATTTTGCTTAATTAATTTTTTAAAAAAATAGCGGTAAACATTTTTAAAAAGTTTTTACAAAAAAAAATTATTTTTTCCGCTACTTGATTTTGATGCTTATTTCTTTGTGCTTTTTAGGAACAGCTACGTAAAATACATGGCTCTTCAAATGACAAATACGACGAAGGCGTGGATAAGTCAACAGAGTACAAACACATGAACAAACTAACCAGCGAGCTACAGACGAAGTTGAATCAAAGCAATGTGCAACTGCAAGACATCACCACCAAGTATAAAATGGTTAAAGTTGAGTTAGAAGTGCTGAAAACGAAGAAGACCTCGGCTAAAGATACTTTGTCTAAAAAGAAACAAGTTCAGTTTTCTGAGCCGAAGAAAGCGACCGAGACTAGCCGTCAACAAGCGATAGTAGAAGATGAAATGATATTTGAGAACAGAGCTCAAGTTTGTTCAACGCCCGAACTAGATAGTCCTAAGAGTCAGCCCGATTTTCCGGACTCAAAGTCTGCTGGAGATGTTAAGAAAAACTTCCTGTTGGGTAAACTGAAGGAAGTTCTGAAACAACTGGAAACGACCAAATCACAGTTGGCGACGCAAGAAAGCGAAACTTTGAAGCTCCTCGGAGAAACTATTCATCTTAAGGAGAAAATCGCGCAACTCGAAAGCAAGGATAATGATTTAGTCGGAAAAGAAAAAGCTGAAAACGAAATAGTTTTGAAGACAATGAACAAAAAAATTGCTGACAAAGATTTGGAAATTAAGGTTTTAAAAAGTTCGCAGCAGGAGAAGATGAAGAAAATCGAAAACCTGACGAAAGAGCTCAGAGATGCTGGATTTGAGAACCAGGGTCTGACAAAGCGCCCGAGAGATGCTTCAAGAGATAAAGGAAACAGTCCAGAAGTTGGGAAACTTCATCTTAAAGTCAACCAATTGGAAAAAGAATTGGCGTTGGCGAAATCAAAAGCGCAAAAATCGTCGCCTGATTGTGAACACGATTTTGAAACAAAACAGCTAACGGAACAAATTGAGTCTCTGAAACTTCAGCTGAAAAAAATGGAAGATTTGAATTCGGCAATGAAATCTGAAATCGTCAACTTGAAAAATGCTGAAACAGAAGAGCAGAATAGTTTTGACGGAGAAAGTCTCAAAATCAAAATATCGCAACTCAATCGAGAAATTCAGGTTAAAAACAATCAAATTGGTGTTCTGGCAAATGAAGCAAATGAAAATCAAACAAAAATCAAGAAATTGTCCAATGAAAAAAGCCAGTTGCATAAAGAGTTACTTGAAACGAAAGTTGAACTTAAAGAGCAGACAGAAATACTTGCTAAAACTGAGAGCAATAACCAGAAATTGTTCGAAGAAATAGATTACATTCGACAAAATGAAGATCAAAAAGCGCCCCAAAACGACTACAGTGATGGTAAAAACATGGCAATAAATGCATACCTTGAGGTAGAATTGCAAAAAGCAAGACAAAACGTTTGTTCACTTCTGGAAAAACGAGATATTGGCCATTTTTACGACCAAGATTTAGATGGTCTTGTTAATACTCTGCATGAAGATTTTATTAGGGAATTAGAGCGGGAAAAAGAAATTTCATGGCATGAAAACCAAATGTTGGTTCGACGACTAGATAACAGTGAAAAGTTGTACGATGATGCGACTGCTTGTAAGAACATCCTCCGAAGACTTCTAAGCAAACACAATATGGCGTTCAGCAAATCTAGCTCTTTAGAAGATCTGGCTAGGAAAACGGAAATTTTGACTGATGGGTTCAAAATCCAACCTCAGCTACCGATCCAAGCGCAGCCGATTCAAAAACGTGGAAGGAGCTTGACTAGCTTCCTGAAGAGTTCGAAAGAGATAAAGAGATCAAAGAGTAGCGGTAACTTCGAATCTTCGCAGGTGGACATCGCGAGCTCGTTCATGTCGCCTATGAGCAGCGAAAACCCATACCCATCCGGTGGAATTTTCAGGGACTTTACCAAACTGTCATCAGAACAAATATCGATGGAAAACAAGTACGAAAATCAACAGCAAGAGGCCGACGAAATTAAAAGGAACTTGGTCAAAATTCTGAAAATTTTGAATAAAGCTCCTGAATATCCAAAGCCAGCGCTTCAAATGGTCAAAATCATTCAATCCGAAGTCGAACATCAGCATCATAATCGCAACAGTCAGCATCAGGAAGAAGGCAACGACCGAGAGCGAAAAAATTCAGATGATGAAGCGTACGCCCAAGAGTTGACGAAAGAACTAAACGAGATTCATTCGAATTTATACGCGTTGCTGCACTCTGCTGGATTCGAACCGGATCCTAGTGTGAGCTCGGGTAGAATGTCAGAAATTGCGAAAAACAAAGTGAACGAAAAGTTGACAAGCTTAAGAAAAATTGCCAAAGAATTCGAGAAAGATAACCGAGACCTCGAAAATGAAAACCGCCAGCTAAGAAACGAAATTAGTGAGCTGAAAATGGAAAAGTCTTCTATTGGTCCAATGATGAAAGAGCCGAAAAGTTTCAACGAAGAAGCTTCGGAAAGTTTCACGGCGCCGGCGCTCTTTTATTTAGAAGACGACGATCACAAATTCAACACCGTTAAAAAGAACAAAGAAGCGGAATTGCAAAAACAGATTTTCAGTCTCATTGATGAAAACACGGAACTGCTTGAAACCAAAAAGCATTTGCGATCTGAAATTAAAGCGCTTAAAGAACAAACTAAATTCAGCCCCGGTTCAAGAGACAATGTTGAAGAAAAACTGCGCGCAAAAATTGCAAATTTGCAGGACGAGCTTCAAAGTATAAAAGAGCAGCACGATGAAGGTAGCAACCAAAACTATGCAAACCTCGAACATCAGTTGAAGCTAGAGAGGTCAAAGGTCACACATCTTGAGAACGAACTTGTGAAATCTTCTGAGCTGACTATGAACTGGACAGGCATTTCCGAAGACACGCGTCAGATGCAAAGGTTGGAGCGTAATAGTGATATTGCAAATGCTAAATTGATGGGTCAAAACGAAACCATAAAACGTCTGCAAATGGAAATGGGCGACATGCAAAAACTGGAAAGGAAAGTCCAACAACTTGAAATGGAAAACGAGATTCTGACTTCGAAACTCGATGAAAACGAGGGCTTTGCCGACCAAATGGAAAATCCGTTCGAAACCATCAGACCGCGAAGCCGTAGTATGACTTCAAGAAAGGTAAAATTTGACCTTCACCCGAATTTGACCTCATCAAGCATTTTTTCGAGCCAGAGTTTGGCAAAACTTAAGACCGAAACTTGGCCGAAAGGCGAAATCGGCGATTCTTCAGGGGCCGAAAACGAGATTTCGCTCAACATAAACTACCAAAAATTAATTGACAGCCTTGAAAGAAAAATAAAACTGCAGGGAAGCGAAATAAGGCAACTTCAGGAATCAAAAGGCGGCGCTGGTAAATTAAGACCGGCTATAATTCGGTCACTTTCTATAATAGACGGACCGCGAATATCACGAACTAAAAACTACCACATTTTAGACTCTGCGACGCTTTTAAGTCAGCTGGAAAATTCCGTTTCAGATATGATCCAACACCATGAAGAGGAGTCGTCTGGTTCGAGCGACATGGAACAAACTGAACTCGAGATACAGGCGGCCTGAACTAATATACGAGAAAAGAAGGATCTCGCATTCGGCGAAAAACAACAGTTGAATACAGTATCAATGATCAATAAGCACATCTTAGACTTTAGCGATTTAAAACTTACTAACCACAATAGTCAGTGGCGCGATGCTTAAGAATTTGCTTCCAAGTCGGTCACACAAAACTCGACGCTTGAAATAAATTTCATTACAATTTAACCGAGTTTCATTCAACGCACCACTGATTATGCGATTAATGTATTGAGTTTGATTAATGATTAATGAACTCTTTAGTAGTTTAGTCGTTCCATGATGAATCTTGCATGAGAACCATCCTTGTTAGATAACAATAGTTTTGCAAGCTTTCAAAAGCTGCAGTTTTTGCAGGAATTAACAGCTTTACCCGTACAAACTTATATGTTAAACTACCATTTTAACACTTTTTACTCGTTAGATAGTGTAAATTTCTTGCTGAGTGCATTTTGTGAAAGCTGAAGAATAGATTGCTGAAAATAATCAGTAAAAATACAGCTTTATATCTTGAACTCTTCATTACAAAAACTCGAACTGCCACAACTTCTCAGGCTGTAGAGTCGAACAAGAAGACCAAAACCAAGATCCAAAAGGCGATGTCTTGTGCTATAACTGGGTTGAGGAGTTTGACTTTTGTTCGAACATACAGAGGATATAACAATCAGTGGTCAGAAACAGCCCTTTCAGAAAAACACTACTTTGAATCGAGCACAAATTGTGATAGAAATATAGCCGAACACAAAGAGTGGTAGAAACATAGTCGAACACAAAATATGGTCGAACGCATGCTAGAACACAAAATCGAAACAAAATCGAAAACTGTAAAAAAAACTTAATCGGGCAAAAAGCGCCAGGTTGGACACAAAATCGAAATTTAATTGAAAATGTTATCGAAACATAATTGGACAAACGTACGGTCGGTCGAACATTGCACGCTTGGTTCAAACACATTCGAGCACTTTTTTTGTCGAATTGGTCGAAACACAACCAGTTTGGGTCAAGTCGGTCGAGACAAAGCAAGCTTGGATTGATCAGTCTCGATCTCTTTGTTCTATGGGCCGAGTCGGTGGAAACATAGTCAGTTTGGGTTAATTTGTTTAAAACTTAGCACGCTTTGTTAGAACACAGTCGAAAACATTTTCCTTCGATCGAGTTGGTCGAGTAATAATCAGTTTGGGTCAATTCTGTCAAAAAATACACGCTTGGGTCGAAAAGGTTTTTCTTACGGTCGAAAAGGTCTACGTATAGCCAATTTGGGTTGAGTCGCTCGAAACAAAGCACGCTTGGGTTGAACAGAGTCGTACAAATTGTTCTATGGCCCCAATCGGTCGAAACAAAAACAGTTGGGTCGGTTGGATCAAATCATAGCACGCTTAGTTCAAACACAGTCGAAAACATTTTCCTTTGATTGATTTGGTCGAATTATAGCCAGTTTGGGTCGAATCGGTCGAAACAAAGCAGGCTTGGGTTTAACAGTTCAGTTGAACAGTTGAACCCATTGTTCTTTGGTCCCAGACGATCGAAACAGAAGCATAGCACGCTGGGCCTAACACAGTCGAACGCATTTTCCTTTGGTCGAGCTGTTCGAAACATAGACAGTTTGGTTCGAGTCGGTTAAAACAAAGCACGCTTGGGTAAACAGTGTCGAACATTGTAGGTCGAAACATAGCCAGTTTGAGTCAAATCGTTTGAAGCATAGCACGTTGGGTCGAACACAGTCAAACACATTTTACTTTGGTCGAGCTGGTCGAAACATAGTCAGTCTGGGTCGAGTCGGTTGAAACAAAGCACGCTTAGGTCGAACAGTGTCAAAAATTTCGCTCTACTGGCTGAGTAGACCAAAACATAGCCAGTTTGGTTCGAAACGGTCAAAACATTGCATGCTTGGGTCAAAAACTGTCAAACTCCTCCTTTGGCCGAGTTGATCTGAACATAACCAGTTTGATTCAAGTCGGTCGATCAAAGCATACCCCGTTTGGGTCGAACTCTGTCCGAAACATCGCACACAGTCCAACACAGCAAGTGTTGGTCCAGTTGATCGAATCATAGTCATTTTTGGTCGATTCGGTCAAAACATAACCAGTTTTAGAACGTAATTTTCATTTGATCCAGTCGGTCAAAAAGTAGCACGCTCGGATTTATCACAGTCGAGCTAATTTTTCTTAGGTCAAATTGGTTAAGTTATTGCTATTTTTTGTTTAGTCTGTCAAAACTAGCAATTTTCGGTCCAGCTGGTCGAAAGATAACTCAAAGATCTCAACCCGGGAACAACACTATTAGACTAATTCTGTGCACTGAATAGGCTCACAATTTGGGATTCAAGTTGAAAATTTACCTGCTCGATCAAAGAAAGATCAAATAGAGTAGTATTATCGCGTATTACGCTGACAATTCAAAAAATACACAGTTTGGCCTCCTAATGAAACATAGACAGTGGCTATCTATAAACACAGAAAGCAACAAACTAATCATCGCTTTTAGCAAATTCTATCCAAAAAAATGATGAACCTGCAAAATTTTTAGAAATCGCAAAACCTATATTTGTTTTCTCCTTATTTTTTCTGATAATGGGTGAGATTTCAATCAAACAGTAATTTGAGGTGTTCATTTGATTATACCTAAAACAAGAGTGCAATTGTAATAAATCGGAATTTAAAAAATACAAGTTTTTTCGAATTAGTATCGTTTTTTTACTAAAAAACTAGCCTTAGTTGAGTAACACCAAGTTTTTACGTTTTAAATTAAGCTATTGTAAGCTTTTAAGCCCTATAAAATTAGCTATTTTAAGCATGCTTGCTCCCTTTATTCGCTCGAACTAAGACGAAAACCTAAAATATTCAGACCGATTTTTCATACAAAACGAGACTGTCATTTTATTTAGAAACTTTTTAGTGTCGTTAAAATAACGACTGTAAGGGCTTTCATATGATATATCTAATATATCTGATATATATGAAAAAAAATAAAAGCACAAAAAAGCGCCCGAATACAAAGTTCCTCACGATTTTTCAATCAGTTCGAACAACAGTTAAGATCAAGTTTTTCAATAAAGCTTTCTTGTTTGAATTGGATTTTCGAAATCGCAGCTCAATCAATATTATAATAACGCGATCGACCATGAATGGGTTTTCCTTAAGTCATCTAAAACTTGGCGAAAAGTTCTCTCAGACGACGAAACTGTTTTAACTAACTTTCAATGACAAAATTGAGCAGAATACGAAGATATCCTTAAAATTGTACACAGGACTATGAGAGCAGAACCCGGGCCCAGACTTTGTGTTTACTTAACAGAAACTATTTTAAACTAAAACTAAGTTCTCTTTCATCAAAGATCGCCGAGACTTCGCTTGGATCTGTTCAAAAGAAGAACGGTTCTATTGTTAAAATATGTCTAACAAACCTATTGGTTTCGACTCTCAGTCCAACTCTCGAAATGACCCAGGATTAAGTAATTTAGGGTCATTGAGACTTTTTGATGAGTTCATATTGCTAATATTTGTGAAATGTTTTAAGCATTGTCTAACAACACCACAGAGACAAAAAGACTTTTCTTCTCTTTTTCCGCCTATTTTAAGCATCTAAAACTATTTTTAGATTAATCGCAATAAATAACTTGTTTTTAAGTTTTAAATAAACGTGAAGGTTGCTATATAAAGTGCTGAGTCTCAGGATCCTAGTAAAATGAACATCTAATCAAAAATCATTTGAAATGCTACCGGTTCGTCAATTTCTATAATTATGTACAAAAAATGAAAATTATAAATATGAACAAAAACGAGATCTAAAATAACAACAAAGAGTAAAAACTTCAAAAGTTGTTGAGCATACATAGTTTTTTCTGCGATTTTCCGCAAGATATTTGATTAGGCGATCTCGGTTGTTTCATAAGCATTTTGAAATAAGTTCTTGTAGGGGCATAGAAATGTTATCACTTTTCTCACTTGCCTCTGGAATTCATGTGTTCAGAGACCATGATACAAAAATGACGCCTGCCTTCACCGATGTAGGAGGCTTTATACACCTGACAAGAGAACTCATAAATAACTGATGAAGCCAGGTTGATGTCATATTGATCTCTATTCTCGAAAAGTTGAGACATTTTCAGATGGTGAACACTCGAAAACTCTAATTTTTACCAGATATCTGTTAAGTTCCCGGATTTTTGATATTGTCAAATGGTGGATAGTATCGATAAAAGGTAACTTCCAAACACTTTTTTTTGTCAAAGTTGTCAGAAATATCTTTGTGTTTTGTCTGTTTGCCAGTACAAATGACTGATTCGCTCATTCTGCCCAGAAGATCGTCAGGATGCCGGTTTTTACATAACACGTCAAAAAACCTGTCCAAAGCAGCCGTGACAGCGTATTAATCGGTACTTATTGTGAAAGCTCTCTGGAAAAGTTCTCTTGGGACCGCTTCTTTGTATCATGGATCGCAATATGATGAGAACAATTTGTAGAGCCCCATGTTACAGGATGCTGAAAATCTGTTACCCATTCTGCTGAATTGAACATCTAAAAAACTGAGTGACACTTTGTTTACGGTTTCATGCATGAACTGCAATTCAGAATTGAAACTCTTCAAGCTTTTCAGAAGAATAGGGCCCTGATTCTTGTTTTCAACGATATCAAAACAGTCATCAACGTAATGCTGGTGAATTTTTATTTGGGTTTCAAAACTTAGAATCTGCTCTTCTACCATGTCAACTGCAAAGCCATCTTCTGTTTGTTTCCACGTTTCGCCGTCAAACAAAAAGAAATATTGAGACAAGCCATCGCCAGAAGCAAGTTCACTGTTTCTGGGCTGAGCGAAAAATCTGCTGTTAGTTTTTTGAGAATAAGCACGATAATTTTCTCAACAGGCTTACTTTTTGGCAAGGCTGCGGTTATACGAATTGATCATACTCACAATAGGTCGGACAGTAGAATCTTTTCGATTTTATTTGAATTTTTGCGTGTCCATCGAGTCTTGCAAACTCCGCACTGTACTGTGGTATCTTCGGTACAGTTCTTCAGAGATCTTTCCAGATTTCTCAAGATTCAGCAAAGTTCTATTAAATTCCTTTTCTTTACGTACAAATATTTTTCTTGGGGCTGCTCTTCATTTTTGCGAACTTCGTTTAGTGGGCCAGGATTG